CCAGAGTGCTACCCCTTTTTTACGGATCACATTTTGTTTGTTCGGACTGAGTTTCTCATCCTAGCTACGCTCACGAATAAGGAGCAGAACCCCGGCCTTTTCCGGCGGTGCCCGCTTGGATGCTGGGCGGATTCCTTGATGAAGGCCCGCTCCTGGTTGATAATGCGGGTCGAACGAAAAGAGTTTCCTTGCGGCAATGAAGGGAAAAGCGAGAGACGGAGGTTTACCTTTGTCGCAAGCCAGCAGGAACAATTTTTCGTCCAGGGTGGTTTCCTCCTTCACCTGCCGGACGTCCTTTAATGCCAGCAGCTTGTTCGGGGAAGCCAAGGTCGATGTGTCTGCACTCTGGTATAGAGCAGCCATAGCGCCGGCCTCGCAGTAAGCGGAGGCTCATCGGAGAGGCCGCTCTGGAAAGCCACCTTCTTCCTCCTCCTCCTCCTCCCAGCAATCCCGCTGGGATACCCGCGAACCAGGCGCGCCTCACGTGCCACCCGAAGAGAGAGCGAATGACGCGCAGCTGTCAAACGGGGGCTCGAGCGACCAAGAGCTCCGCGCGCGCACGCGCAAAAGGCTTGTCTTCCTTCTCTTCTGATTTCTTCCGCAGTCGAAGACGGTCAACGGTCCCCCGTTCCGTTGGAGACGCAAGCGGGCGGTCTCTATGCCGTTCTTTGTCCCGGGCGGCAAAGAGGAGAGCAACGCAGGGACCGTGTCAGTCCTTTGTGGTTCAATGTACAATAGAGTAATCAAATTGTAAGGGGAGGAAATATAACCTTGAACCTGAAAGCTATTTTCAGTGAGCTTAGAATATCCTCTAGGACCCGCGCCCATACTCAAGGTGTTCTCTTTTTCCCCCGGCCAGGGCTCATCAAACCTTCATCTCTTTATTGTTACCACAGTGTCTGTGACTTTCAGCAGAGCATTCATGCGAGATTGGATATAGTAGAATTTATTTTTTCTGTCAATCTGATGGACCACAGAAATATGGCAGGCAAAAAAGTAAAAATTGGTAAAGATTCTAACTAAGCTGTCCTGGCAAATCTGGACATAGATTTGGTAAACAGATCAGTAAATGTCAATCTACATTCCAATATCAAAGAAAAGGAGACTTAACAGCATACGAATGAACTATCATTCAATATTCTTCATTTCTTAGATCATCCAATGCAGATTAAAGCCTTGCATGACAAAAAGAGATGCCAGATGTTCAAGCTGGCTTTAGAAAAGTAAGAGGAATGTGAGACATCATTGCTGGTGCACACTAGATAATTGAGAAAAGCAAACCAAAAAGTCAATATATGCTTAATTGATATTGAAAGGCTTTCAACTATATTAGTCCTGTCAAGTTTAAAAAATTGGTAATTCTAGAACATTTTTTCAGGGAAACCTATTCATGTCAGAAAAGAACAATATAGACAGAATATGGCAAAATGGACTGCCTCCAGATTGGCCAAGGCATAACTGTATATTCTCCCCTTATTTATTCAGTTTGTATGCTTAATGGGCATTAAAAGGAAGTTGGACAGATGAGCATTGTTGTAAAACTGGAGGGAGAAACATCCCTGACTTGCACTATGAGCATTACACTATTTTGATAAATGACAATGAAAGGATCTGCAAGCTCTAATAATGAAATTCAAGGAGTGTGAGCTCTACAGATTTCTCTTCTAAGCAAGGTGTGGCAAGAACAAGAGAGAATGGTTTGAGAAGAAGAAAAAGCCAACCAGTATCTTGAGGGTGAGTGCTATACACCCTATTAAAATGCCAGGTTTTTGAGATGTAAAAAATATCTAACCACTAGTTAGAATGCAGCATTGCAGGCAAACTTTGCCCATATAGTCAGGAGTTCAATCCTGACCAAATCAAGGTTGACTCAGCCTTCTAACCTTCTGAGGTAGGTAAAATGAGGAGCCAGATTGTTGGGGGCAATATGCTGACTCTAAACTGTCCAGAGAATGTTGTAAAGCATTATGGTGTTGTATAAGTCTAAATGCTATTGCTATTGATAAAAATCAGACCAAGATAAATTATTTCAGAATTTTTTCCATCTCTAACATATAAGCTGTAAATTCGATTGAAAAATGAACTGAAATCTTTTGGAATGAAATAATAAAAATGTACAAAAACATGGCTGCATAAGTGTGCACACCCTTGAACTAATGCTTTGTTGTTTTTTCCTTCTTGTTGTTTCCTTCTCGCTTGTTTACATCACTCCCAATCCAACAGGTAATTTTCTTTTTTCCACAATGCCATCCTGGACTTCAAATCTTTCATTAATTGGTTTGAATGTTGGTTAGAATAAATAGAAAATTTTTGCCTAAAAGGCCTTGTTTTTAATTGGCGTTTCCCTACTCTTCTGCTTCTTTCGTTAATTTGTAACCACTATTTCTGCTCCTTCTGTACCAGGCTTTTGTGCAAGATTTTTGGCCACTCATAAAGAAATAGTTACTAGTAGAAAGCAGGAAAAGGGGACAATTGTGTTAGAAAAATTAAAAATAATAAAGCTGCAAATTCTCCACCTCTCCCCATTTTTTTTCTTTGCCTCCCGTTTCTGCCACACACACCATCTCTCTTGTTGCAAAATCTGTTCTATATTAACATTCTCCAAATCCTGAGTTCTGATTGGTCCACGCGGACCGCAACCCGATTGGTTAACTAAACGACTGTGATTGGTGCGCTAATTGGCCGAGCCGATTGCAGGAAATTCGAAGCGCTGCCATTGGCCGCCGAGCCGCCGGCCGGCTGAATAAAGCCAAGCGGCTCGCAGGTCCTGCACAGAACTGTATATTCTTCAATAAAGAGCTGAATGTGCACTTTGAGTCTCGCGTCTCTATGCGACCCGATCTACCTGGGACCAATCTACCCGAGACCGATCTCCCAGACTTAACAAAATCTTTCCCCATTTCCCTTGACCTACCCCATTTGCATATGTAAACTAGATCAGCCCCATGATCATACATAACTCAAACATGGCTATGTTTCTGCTTCCAATAACCTTTTAATCGTATCATCTAGGAATCCACAGATATTCCATCTCAATAGAGCCTAGAAGCTTGTCTCAATATTCTATCCTGTTAACAATGGAATGCTTAGCAGCTTTGCTTTACAATAGAAAATACATTTTTCTTTGTTTAAACCAAAGGTCTTCAAACTTGGCAAGTTTAAAACTTGTGGACTTCAACTCTCAGAAATCCTGAGCTAACATGTCTGGAGGAGGAATTCTGGGAGTTGAAGTCCACAAGTCTTAAAGCTGTCAAGTTTGAAGACCCCTGGTTTAAACTTTTGTCGCATTTACTCAAAATGTGTCAGCGACTCACCTCATTTAGATTTTTTCCCCTTCAGTCCCAAAATGTATAAACATCTTTGTATTATTCAAGTTCCCCATTTCTTGCAAAACAGGCACCCAGTGATCATTGAATAAAGTTTAGCCATTTCTCTCCCTCTCTGTGCTCCTTTCTTTGGTAGAAATTCCAAAATTACATTTAAGAAGATTAGCTTCTTTGGGGAAAATCTTCAAGATCCAAAGCTGAGAAATACTGGTGAATGGACCTAGAGAAGGGCCTCATTAGGCACACATAGGAGAGGGTGTTCTTCCAGATCACCAGATTCCAGATCACAGAGCTTTCTAAAACCAGCACTGTAAATTAGGTCCAGATATAAACCAGCAGCATATGTTTGTATTGGCCAGTGTGATTTAAGTGTGTTCCTCCAGGTTTAGAACAACTTGCAGATGATTTTCACTCTGTGAATTAGGTTGGCAACTAGTTTTTCTCAATGGAAAAGTTTTGAATTTTGATCCTTATGGTGGGGGTATATGTGAGCTTATATAGCTTTAGATTTTATAATAGCTATTGGCAAGTAATAGGCATATAAACCCTTCAAACATTTTCCTCTAGTATGAAGGATACCTACACTTGAAGAATCGTAATAAAGATAAAACTGGTTGCAGTACCTCCTACTGCTTAATACAAGTAGACCTCAATTTATGACCAGGTGATAAACAACTGTCTGAAATTATAAGAGAACGATGTTTTACAGTTGATAAAGCCATTGTAAGATGTTTGGCCACCATACCCATGTTCACGTTGTAGTTTGGGTGCTTGACAATTGGCTTGTGTTTATGACTTGTACAAAAATAGACTTGCTATTTCTTTTATTGATTTTTAATTTAGTGTTCTATTAAAAATTGTGTTTCTATTCACTCACACACAAACACACACTGCAAGTAATACATTATAAATACCATTTATTTGTTGCTATCATTAAATATGTTTTAATTAGTTTTATTCTAAACTGCAAACCCTAACAGTTTGATTTTTATAATTTTTTGTAATTTTTTATAAAATGTACGTTGTTATACAGATGATACATTTCTACAGAAAAATCTCCGAAATGGAATTTGTAAGTTCAACAGCACAAGTAATACATTTTAACTATCAGTGTAACAAATTAAAAAAACATTTTAATTCCCAATATTTAATTAGTTGATTAGTAGTACAATCCTGCATCTAATGTATAATGGGTATCCTAATAGTAATGGAGGCATAAAGCACAGCTATGAGAATACACCAAAATTCCTTTTCTATATCAAAATATCTTCACTTTGTCACATCTCTGATTGCTTCATAAAAATAGCTAACATACTGTCATACTCTCTATAATTTCTTTTTCAGAGAAATTGAAATATAAAACAGTGTACAATTTAATTAACAAACGTTACTATTCTGGAGCCATTATAAATGTCTCATTTCATGACCATGCTAATGGAATTTGAGATTGAAACAGAGTATTTTTTCTCTGTCCTGTGCAAATTTTACTGATTCTACCCACACCAACCTCATCAGTGTTTAAGATTTATTTACAGTTTGTACCATCTCTCTGTGAAGTAGTTTTCCAACAAGCAGTCTAAAGAATAGATAATCACATAATGATTAACTATAATTTACATCAGCAAGCTAGTTTAAAAAAAAAAGCTGCTTTGGTAAGGGAGCATTTTTTTTCAATCATAGTTGAAATACAAGATTTGTTACAGATTTAAACATTGTCTGTGGAGTCCTTGGTGCCATTTGATTATTTGCTTGTGGACAAACTTTCTTTACCTGACTATGTAACATCAGCAATGGAAGTGAGTGTGAACTTTGTTCCCTGTTTTATATAGTAGCTTGCTTTGTTGGTGTGGTTTTCTTTTAGGAAGTTCCTTGATTAGGGTATTGTTTTCTGCTTCATTGTTTATATGGTGTTAATCCCGGTTTATCTTGATATCAGCTGCTGGAAGGATGTTTTCTGATCTTTTTGTTTCCTTAGCTTTTTATTTTCATAGCTTATATATTCCTTTTCCTGATATTTTGGTTGCTGCAGTATTTGTACTCTTCTTACACAGCAACTAGTGTGAGAGGTTCGGTTATTATTTTGGTAATGGAGCACTTGGTTAGTGTGGATTGTTTTTGATAGATTTGGGTTTCTAATTTGTTATTATTTCCTCTGCTGATAAGGATATCCAGGAACTACCAAGGAGAAAACACTTGGCAGGATATATATTGACGCTGTACACAAATAGTGAGCAAAGTCCACACTTAATAGTGCTAATGATGTTACCTAGTCAGTTAATGAAACATCTACAAAGAACCAAAGACAAGAGGACCAAGGACTCCGCAATTCAACTCTGAGCTACATATATTCTCTTTTATTGAAAACATTGACTCTTTATTTTATAACCATAGCAAGAGAAGTTTGTTAGCAACAACTGAAATTTATCTCATCAATCAAAAGTTTTGACTTCACAGTATTTCCTAAAATAGCACTTTACACTCTTGGGAATCTTTGCACTGAGAAAAATCATATACAGGTTAAAAAAGCTGCTGAGCATAGTAATGTTAATTACGATTATTGCATCATGTTAACAGAGTTAGCTCACATACTGATGTAATACACATTTCAAGTGATAACTAAAAAAGAAATCCTTTTAAATAATCTATCTTTACTTTTCCACATTTATATATATAAACTATCTGCTTTACATTAGTCTGTAAACAATGAGGCATTCAATGCGTTTATCATGGCAGAAAAAGAAAAGAAACCATTCTTTATTTTATTTTGTTTAATCCTCTTCCCATTAAACATGCAAACACTGTCATGACCATTTTTGGCTTCACTTCTACCAAGTCATCTGGTAAGGCATATATACAAGCACCAATTTTCCGAGCGATAGAAATAGCATACCTTGGAAAGAAAAGGGGGAAAAATATTTGTTTAGCATTATTTGCATTGGAAGTGTACCCAATGATGATTCCTTAGTAACTTGTATCTTTGCTAATGAGACAATAATTTCTCTTCACTCTTTTCTCCAGTCACAATCTCTTGCAATCCTATATGATATATCCCATTCCAAATAGTTCCCCAACTCTCAGGACTAACTTTTCAAAAGAGCTATGAACAATATATCTGTACTTTTAAAAATAAGATGTATTTCTAACAAAAGTTGACTGCCATATATTCTTTCCACCAAACTACAAATAATTTACCGTCATAAATATGTGTTGTTTTAAACCTACTTCTTAGTAAGCTAGAAAAAAGTGGAATAGATAGCACCACCACTAGATGGACTCGCAACTGGCTGGCAAACCGTACTCAATGAGTAGTCCTTAATGGGTCTAAGTCTACATGGAGGGAAGTAAGCAGTGGGGTGCCACAAGAATCTGTCTAAGGCCCAATACTCTTCCATATCTTCATTAACAACTTAGATGAGGGAATAGAAGGGAACTTACCAAATTTGCAGATAATACTAAGCTGGCAGGAATAGCTAACACCCAAGAAGATAGGCTCAAGATCCAGATGGATCTTGACAGACTAGAACACTGGGCCATATCTAACAAAATGAAATTCAATGTAGAGAAAAGTAAAGCCCTACACCTAGGCAAGAAAAACCAAAAGTACACACATAGGCTGTGTGAAACTAGGCTCAATAGCAGTAACTGTGAGAGGGATCTTGGAGTCTTAGTGGACAACCAGCTAAATATGAGCCAGCAGTATGCCGCAGCAGCCAAAATAACTAATGCAATCCTAATGCATTAACAGAGGGATACAATTGAGATCAAGTGAGGTACTAATACCACTCTATAAAGCCTTAGTAAGACCACATCTAGAGTACTGCATCCAGTTTTGTTCACCACATTATAAAAAAGATGTTGAGACTCTAGAAAAAGTACAGAGAAAAGCAACCAGGATGATTAGGGGACTGGAGACTAAAACATATGAAGAACTGTTACAGGAACTGGGCATGGCTAGTCTAATGAAGAGAAGGACCAGGGGAGACATGATAACAGTCTTCCAATATTTGAGGGGCTGCCACAGAGAGGAAGGAGTCAAGCTATTTTCTAAAGCGCCTGTAGGCCAGACAAGGAATAATGGATGGAAACTGAACAAGGAGAGATTTAATCTGGAAATAAGGAGAAACTTTCTGACAGTGAGAACAATCAATAGAACAACTTGCCCTCGGAAGTTGTGGGAGTGTCATCACTTGACACTTTCAAGAAGAGATTGGACTGCCATTTGTCAGAAATGGTGTAGGGTCTCCCACTTGGGTGGGGGATTGGACTAGATGACCTATAAGGTCCCTTCCAACTCTGATTATCTGTTATCTGAATCCCAGCTAGTTCTTTTTGTCTGACTTCTTGTAACAGAGATTTTAACTGTTTTAATAAGATTTAAAATGCCTTTTTTATTATTTAGTTGCCTTGAATGCTATTGGTAGAAATATGGGATATAAACCATATAGTTAAATAATGTAGTAAAACCCAAACCAATTCAGAATAAAGTAGAAAAATGTGGGTGGATATACACTGATTCCTAACATTTAAAAAATTTAACAAAATGAACACTTTGTTGTTTTAAAAAGGATGGTAAGACCATACTGATTTCTCACAACAAGGAATATCAAAGAATTTTCATTGAAATTGCCTTTGAAAATAGCCTGGAAGTTTGTTATACAAAATGACAGTAAAAGGTACCAGACCCTACAATCCACTCTTCAGCTTATATAAATGCTGAAAATATATTTGAGAAAGAAGGCTGTGTAGATATTCGGTTGTCGTTTAGACAGCTTTCAAGGATAGCATCAGGGAGATAATAGTAAGGGTTGTATATTCCAATAAGAGCTATAGCTCAGATATTGGTTCAAGGGATTCGAAAAACTTCCTATCAGGCCATTATAATTCAGAAGTGTTCCCAATTACAGACATAGTATTTTAGAAAGAGTACAACCACATTCATAAAAGATATTTCCAAAACTATCTGCCTAGTAACAACTTTATGAATTCAGTTTTATTTGGATTGAGTGTACATTTAACCATCATGTTATAAATTATTTTAGATTCCAGACATTAATTCAGGAAAGCAATTTTGTTTTTTCAATTGAATTTCTGAAAAAGGGAAATTTGAGCTTGATGTGATTAATATACTAACCATAAGTAATATACCTAGGTTACCTCAATTTTTATTTTTTAACTTTTTATATTTTAAATTTTATGTCATATAGTATGCCTTAGTTTATTTGTGATGCTTCTGACACAAATAAACTCAATTAGCACATATTGTAGATTAAGGCTATAAATGCTTCAAAATGATTTTTAAAAAGTTTCAGTCTTCTTATGAAGAATGCTAGAGCATGCATATTTATTTTTCAGGCTTCCACATAAATCTGCAAAAATATATTACTGTTTTGGTGGACTGAGATCAATGTAGATCTCAGTCTACACTAAATGTGACTCATTACAGATAGATTAGATTAGAATATCTTTAATGTGACTCATTACAATTATAAGGATTATAATATACAATTAAATATTATACAATTAAATAATATACAATTAAATATTATTTATGACAAAATCTAATGTCATGCTACATGTAGTCCATTGAATGGGATTCTATTCTTTGTAGAAGTAAAGAATATTGCATCATTATGTCTAATGCAAATATTTTTCCAGTGAGGACTATTCATTGAAGAAGTAGGATGTTATATATTTCCCAGCTTTAATATACATAGGAAATATTCTCAGTCTTGGATTTAATTTGTTTGTGGAGCCTCTGTTGTACTTTAGTTTGACAGAGCTGTTTTTGACTGGGACATATTGTATTGTCGTCATGTTTTTAACTGTTTTATTAATATAATTTGTTAACATGTTTTAACACATTTTATTATGTTGTAAGCAGCCTATATCCTTTTAGAGTGGGCAAGCATAATAAATTTAATTACTATTACTATTATGACATCAATAATAATAACAGTTGGAAGATTTAGAATGATTTGTATATTCCTCCCATTTGAAACTTAAGAAAGGCAGCTTTAATCCATACTAAAACATTACTCTTTAAAATGCCATACTTCTATAAACTATGGCAATTTAAAGGATTGTTTGTTGTTTTCATTCCACAGGATAGTCTTCTGAAATATGCTGCAAGGACTTACTTAGCATTATTTAGCTTGTCTGCTGGTGTTAGATCTTCTCTCTTGACCATTTCTGGGCGGACTGCTTTTGGTGCAATAGCATCTATTAAATCTAATATTGGCAAACTAGTGCTTATAGATTGGTCCTGAAACAAAACACATTAAAGTATTGTTAGTTATCAATAATGAATTATTTTCAGTCATCATACCTTGTCATCTTTAATTTGGCTTGTCATATACTTTTATCCAGTTATTGTCCATGATAAATCAAACAAAAGGTCCTCAACATGTTTTATTGGACCTCAAAGATTTTGTTTCCTGAACACTTTTGAGTGTAATCTTGTAGGTTTTGTCCTAATCACAAAAACAACTTGTAATTAACCTACCATGTACCATTTTATAGAAATCTATTTTTAAACAATGGCAATGTACACCCTTCAGTTTCTGTTGGCTATGCTGCATTCATGAAACATATAAAAACATGAAAGTGTTATTGAAGCCAGTCCACAATATCTGTGGAGATCTACAAGTAGTGGTTCTGCTACTCAGAATGCAATTTGGTTAAACCAAGTATATCCATGTTATAGGATCTCTTGCTGGAATGGGGGATTGGATTAGAAGACCTCCAAGATCCTTAGAATAACATATGTTCTACGTACTGTTATTACATATGCAAATAGGATTACCATGCAAGATATTAGTATTACATAAAAAAGGCTGCTCCATTACTATTTTCTTTTACATGCTTATAAATGTGCATAGTACTCTGCTTCTTTCTCCAATCTATGATTTTGAGATGGTCCCTGGGTCCCATCTTGTTCTTGGGATGCTAAGATGTACTTCTTCTGTCTTAAAATAGCAAGTGGTACTGCTATACTCAGTATCCTTTTAACAGCTCAAGAGGATGAGCATTCTTATCCATGACATCAAGTTATCAGCAGGAGGTGCCCTAGAATTATTAATTACGTCTGTGCTTTAAGAGTTTCACCATGCTTTTCTTACACAGGAGATTAAAGCTATGGTTTCAATATTGGCTCCTCCTTTTTAAGTTCTACCGTGAACATTGTGTTATCTGAAAGCAACATTTTACTATTCCCTTTCAGCTGCTAAGTTGATGTTTCTTAATGCACTGATTGGATATATAATTTTAGTTCTAATTGTAGATCACGTTGGCCTGTTGTAACTTTGCTGTCCCTATTTTTCTTAAGTGTATTTCTTGTATTCCATTGTTAAAATAAAAACTGGCAAAGTTTCAGAAACTAGATTTCAGAAAAACATTTTAGCTAACTGGTCATAAAACTACTTTTTACAGTATTTCTGATGTTGCCGTGATCAGTATGCACTTTAGAATACCGTACTTGTTTAAGGCTGATTGAAGGTGTAGAAAAATTTAATGTGTGGATGGAAGTAAAAATTAAACTGAAGTAACATTTCTTCAGTTACATGAGAAAAGAGAATATTGTTGAAAATATAGAAAACTCAAAGATCTGTAAAACATTTGGTTGGTAAATAAAGGTTTACAGATATTTTTACAAAGTTGTTGATATAGACTGGCTGTTCTCAAAAAAATATGATGATCAAAATGTGTTTCTCTGAAGAACACTTTTGTGTACTTTTAATACTTTTATGATGAATAAACTGCCTCTATACTGTATTTGAGTATGATACAACAATTGCAACATAGGTACAAATTTTCATTCTTTGATACAAGGTTCTTCCTGTTTTTAATCATCATGTATAATCCTGCTTTCTTCAAATTATTTTTTATCTAGTTCTCAGAAAAATAGATACAATTATGTTCCATGACAAAGATAGTAATATATATGCCCATATTGTTAGCCAAAATCTAATGTTTTTACATTTTAAAATATAATATTTTAAGCATTTTTATGAAGTGTTGAATTTCTGCTATAAATTGATTCCCACCCAGATTTTCTCTATGTAATTAATATAATATTCCATTTATTTGATAGTCTGTTTATTACCTTGAAGCTAGATATTGAAGTTGTCTTCTTTGCATTTGCAAGAGTTTGATTCACCCATTTAATGATAGTTTCATCATTTACTTTCCCTGCTTCTCCAAGGTCTGATAGTACATTCAAAGTATATCTGCAATAGACCGTATATGTAACTGGTAAGGAACACTAAAGTTGCCCTGAATTTTCCAGTATTATTTTTAGATATTCAACAAAATATACATGAGGTGTGATTGTATTGAGAGAACAAAATAAAATAAAATGACAAATATAAAAACAGACCACACTGTATTGTACAGAAATTCATCACACATTTTAGTACAGGAATTTAGACTGTATTTTTTAACCAAAAGAGTGGGCCTATTTTGATAATTATAGTAAATATCATTAACTATATCACTCCAATTACTACCACTCTTTAAACACATTTCCTGACTAAAACATGGTTCTCAGAAATTAGTGATGAGAATGGAATGGAATGGAATAGAATAGAATAGAATAGAATAGAATAGAATAGAATAGAATAGAATAGAATAGAATAGAATAGAATAAACTTTATTGTCACTTTGAATGTATATTAATCGGCATACATTAAAATGAAATCTCATTGCATACAGTTCTCAAAGGGTCACCACCTCCAATATACACTATATAACCATGACAGAATGAATTAATGAATTAATGCAAAATTATGCATGTACCCACATGTATTATATGACACAGAGAAATAACATGGTCTAGTTCGGATGTATACATGTACATGGTGAGAAAAAACATTGGGGAAACAATGAAGAAACCTAACTGATAGTGGAGCTGAAGCCAGACGGGATGAGTGCTAGTTAGACTGGTGACAACATGATCACTAGAAGTGTGTTGTCAAAGTTAAAAGTACTTAATTGTAGCCACCTGCTAGTTAAGATCTTTGGAGGCTGAATGAACTGACAGGAGGGATAGGCCACGAGCAGACTTTGGTTTGCTACCTGGAGAGAAGAAGGTTCAAGGAAGAGCTGAAATGAGTTTGACACAGACAGCCAGAGTCAGAATTATAGTGAGAAGTGTGGAAAGACTGGAATAAAATATTGTGTTGGGAACTGAGTGGAAGGATTGCAGGAGCAATGGTGTTGAGAACTGAAAAGGTAAAAAATGATTGAATGTATACTTAGTAAAGGCAGGGAACAAACTTATGAGAAACCTTGGAATGAGAAAATAGGGAAAATGTCATTTAACTAGCATGTTAAATGACAAAAGCTGTTCCTCAATTCATGACCATTTGTTTAACATCCATTCAAAGTTACAACGGTGCTAAAAAAGTGACTTACAACTGGTCTTTGCACTTACAACTGTTGCAGCATCCCCATAGTCTTGTGGGAGATGCTAGCATGCAGATGCAAACTCAAAGTTGCTTGGAATGATGGAGGATTCCAGTACTGATGGGCAGAAGGAAGTATGCAGAAAGATGGAAATCAAAGTCTCGTGGTGTAAGTGGGACTGGAAATTCACTGTTACCCTATGATGCACCATTTTGCCCAATTGAAGGTTACAAACAATGGAACCTACATGAGAGTTTTAACAGTACATACAGTATGTATGGCATTCTAGGTTGCAACAGTTTTTACAGGCTTATAAGTCCTTTATAACAGGGGTCCCCAACCGCCGGTCCGCGGACCTGTACCGGGCCGCGGAACAAGCCTTACCGGGCCGCTGGTTGCTGGGCGCCGCCATCTTTTTTGACGAAACAGCGCTTCCGGTGACGTCACCGGAAGCGCCTTTTCGTCATAAAAAGATGGCGGCGCCCAGTTGACGCCGGTACCGGGCCGCGGCGCCCAGCTGATGCCGGAACCGGGCCGCGGCATCGAAAAGGTTGGGGATCCCTGCTTTATAACATGGCAGACCTACACAGCAGTATACAGCAGATTTTTAAAAATTCAAGTTATCTGGGTTTTAAACTGCTGGTTGAATAAGTTAAGAACTCTTATGGAAAAAGTTTGAACCACTTTTGTCTAACTGTTAAGGGCTTAGGGTAGAAACCAGGAGACGAGAATTCCAGTCCTGCCTTATGTATGAAAGCTTTCTCGGGGACTTCAAACCAGTCATGCTTTCTCAGCTCAATCTACCTCAGAAAAGGTTGTTTTTTTTGTGGGAAAAAATAGGAGGAGGAAGGAGTATTAGGTATGTTCATCACTTTGAATTATTTATAAATATAATAAAGGCCAGATATAAACACAACCTACTTAATAGTTAATACCATTGGATTTAGTGAGATGTAAGAAAGCCTCACCTTCTCATTAATTGCCAAACTAGTGCCAAAGTCAAAGTTGGGTTGCCTTCGTTGAGATCTTTTCCACCAATTCCAACCAATGAAAATCTGGCATTTGTCTTTCCCAGTTCTACTGCATAGTTACAATTTTCAATCTAAAATGATTTGATCATAGATATAAATCACAGTTATTATCTAGAGTTTTAAAAAGTAGATATTTTGATCTGAAACTTTTGGAAGGAAAAAAAATACCTCATAGAATGCACACTTTTACTTTCTTTAATGTATTCAGTTAGAAAACTTTTTGAGCAAGGTATCATTTGGATTTGCCAAACGTATTATAGGAAGTCCCATAATATTTAGTTTCTAATTAATTCTTTAGATTAAAATGCTGTATTTTGTTATGCAATTGTGCACTCACATTTGTTGTGTCCCAAAAATCCAAATGATTTAAGTTTATATTAAAGTAGAGGCATATTTTTGCTGTGGAATGCATAAAAATGTACTTTCCAGAGGTATTCTATTAAAAATATTAAATTTGGCATATGATGTTATTAAGATGTTCAAAACTGGCTATTAATATGTATGATTGGCAACTGCTCTTTAGCTTTCCTATAAGGTTTTTAAATTATGAAATAGTGGGAAAGTTGCTAGAACTCTGGTTTGTCTGTAGATTTTTAACATATATTTGTACTATGATATGCTAATGCAGTAAAGAAAGTTCTAGCATTGTATGTGAACAATATAATTGTTATTGATCAAAGAGTAATTTAAGTTTCTGCTCTTTTTAAATCTTTTTTATGGCTATGTAGATTATATCCTGAGATCTCTCATCAGTCAGCCACCTGATGATATATCACTAAACATGTCTCTACTGTACACTGCTGTTGCTGATATTATTAGTGGTGGTGGTAGTCTATTGCTTGTATGTCAATACTCCGACATTAGCCAAATAGTAACATGGAAGTTACTTCAATGCTTAGTTTCAAAATTCTGTTACAAATTTCTACTTGGCTTTGTGAATCACAAATAGAACCATAAAAATTATCAGTAGATATATTAATTTACATGTATGCTACTATCTCTACCATGTTTCCTTGAAACTGAGATAGATGAATAGAAATTAGTGGTGATTATGAAGGCACCAGAGTTCCTAACTCAGAAATATTTACAAACCTTTTTCATGTTACCCCCAAGTGCAGGATATGGTGGTTTGTTGACATGACTCCATTCTACAGGTACACGAATCATTTCATAGAGTTGAAAGATTACTAAACCATCAGCAAGGTCACTGGCAAAGTGAGGGAGAAAAAAAGGTTATTCTAATTAAAAGCAAAACAATTATCCTTTAATTAATCAGAAAACAGATATTTTCACTGCTTCTATATTTTTTAAATTTCCCATTTAAATTATTTACTAAAATCATTCACAACTCACAATGCTATTTTAAAGTATTATTATGATTGGTTGCAGTCAGCCAGATGTTTATACTGGATTTGGCATTTTAATCCACCTATCAAGTCCTTCCCAGGGATATGAGATAGGTAGATATGGATGTTAGGTATAACATTGATACCAAATATGGTTTGGGTGAATAAATATATAAAACTTAGATATCATGGTTTAAGTGCTTATCACTTTAAGCACAATGCTGCAGGCAATTAGCCGATTAAGGGTGCGGTTAGAAGTTACAATATAAGGAAGCATTAGAAGCTGTAAAAATCTTACTGCGACTAACTGTGTCTTACTGCGACTAACTGTGTCTTACTGCGACTAACTGTGTCTTACTGTGACTAACTGTGAGTTCCTGTCTGCTACTGTTTGCTGATTTATTCCGTAATTCTACTGTTCTACTGTTTGAACTTCTTGCTGAATATCCAGCGTTTGTTCCTCTGGAGAGAGGCACCGGAGGAGGAGAAGATATCTTTATCGGCTGATAAAGATATTGCAAGGACTCTTAACTTGGACTATACTAGTGAGTCTTACTGGATGGAAATACTGTGAATGACTTAATGGACTGAATGACAATGCTTTAAACTCTAAATGGATTAAAAACTATTTAAACTATAAACAGTGTTTGTGTTCAGTGTGTGTATACTCTGGGGCCCTTCCTGGCTTGACTACTGCTGCAATACTCTGCTAGGGGTTAATCCCCAAAACCCTAACAATGGATGTTTGATGGTGTTAGCAGTATTGTTGCATGATGTAAGCTGTTCCAAGTAAAGCTGCCTTTTGCAATTGACTGACAATAAATTTGTCAATGCTGATGGTGTTCAAGTGGTGCTCCAATTGTTTTTAGATTGTATTTAAGGAACCTGTTACTATGGTACTACCTTTCCTTTCTTTTACTACAGTTGTTCTATTTCTATTTCTATGTCTTTGTATTTTGTTATTTTCTCCAGTTCTTTTTCTTCTAATCTGTTGTCTTCAAGTATTGCCATGTTCACTATTGAGACTTTGTCTCTCTTATCAACAACTAAGTCTGGGATGTTATGTGGCAGGTGTCTGTCGGTTTGAATTCTAAACTCTCAGAGCACTTTAAATTCTTCATTTTCAATTTCTCTGTTTTATAGTCCCACCAGTTCTTGCTTGCAGGCAAATGCTATTATTTGCAGTTCTTCCAATTATTATTATGTACACAACAATGTGATCTCAGAGCTGCCAGATCTTTAGCTGGTGTTGGCTTTCATACACAGTTCTTCCCAAGAACCTAAGGTGTTATATTGAGCATAGTATAGGTGCAGATCCAAGCAGTGTATACTTTGTAATTAATAGATTGAAATTTTGTCAATGAACAGATTTACTAAATGCCATTAAGATTTTTTGGTATAGCGTGCAATGTGCCTATAACCAATGAGACCACTATGGATGATTTATACCATAATCTTTCAACTTTGATTTTCAGATCTTGATACTTTGTGTAATCTGGTATGCTAATTTATTAGTTTGTATTCAACAATCCCACAATATACTATAATGATAACACATATTGTAATATTGTTATTTATCACATTTATACAGCAGCTCATCTCACACAGGGTGACTTTGGGTGACGTACTATGAAACAAACAAATACACCTTATTTTAAAACCACTTAAACACCTAAATAATTAAGCATAAAAACAAGATTCCAAGAAGATTGAATTCAAAATGTTATACATGATGCAACCAATGTGTGGGCTCCCTGTTGCCAAAAGATCACTTGTCAGCCTCACAGATTGACAGTACTCCCAGAGAGTGGCCCAGATAGGAAATACTAGATGAGTTTATTTTATTTTACTGTAGGGCTACATTAACAGATTCTTGCCAGACTAAAGTACAAATCTTCCCATGGTGTCTATTCACCTAATAAGTTGGGCGGATCTTTAATATATTTCGCTTCCACTTTTATTTGATTGTTCCCAAGGCTGTATCTGTTCTCATTTCCAAAGTCATTCCCTCATACAATTATGTGCCCAGCCTTGATGAAAAAATACATGTTTTGAGAGCTTTCCAGAAGGGCATATGGTTTGGGGCCAATCTCACCTCAGGTTGGATGATGTTCCAAAGGACAGGTAGGTAACCAGGCAGAAAAGGCACCTTCCTAGATCCCATCAGATGGAAACTCTTAGCCGATGGCATGCTCAACATGTGTTTCCTGTCAGATCTAAAGTCTGATGACTCCTCTGGACACTACCTGAGATACCTCTCCAGATGTCCGTTTGGAGGAGGAGGAGGAATCAGTTCCAGGCACTCTTGGAGGGGAGTTGGTCAAGCAGCCATTGGGATTTGGCTGAACCACAGCTGTAGCAGAACAGCCCTGAGGCTTCAGGTGGGGAAAGCACACAGCTACAGCCAATTTGAAGAAAGAACTGCCTTCTGCACCTGATCAGAGAACACATATGGCAGAGAAAAGGCAGGAGCAACAAAGGTCAGCCCAATTACTCTTTAGGAGGCAGCCTTGCCTTTCTTGATGGACTGTACCAGAAGCTGACTATTTAGCAGATAGCAGACAGATGGTGATGATGCTGTGAACAATGTGTTCATTTTGTATCTGTGTGTTTCCTGGTCATTGTATTTTTGCCTTGTTTTAGATTGACACCTACCTTCACTTTGATTTAATTTTGCCTGGTCGGTTTATCTTGTTTGGGAAACTTTCAAGTGGCTTGTGGACTCATTGGCCATTGATCTGTGGACTAACATCTGTCTGCTTTTGGCTGGATTCAATTGGGACAGTTCTGGGGATTTTGTGAAGGGAATTGTTGGGGAATATTAATAAACCCACTAAACCACTGTTATGTGTGAGTGAGCAGGATATCACATAATGGGATAAACAAATATAACTGAGGAGAGGCAATACCTCAAATAACCCTTCCCAATGCCACATAGGGCTTTAAAGGTCAAAAACAGCATCTTGAATTGCATCTGTAAGTGAACTAATAATCAATGCAACTCATGGAGAAGATGTGTGGTATATGTTCTTCTAAAGGCACACATAACAGAATAACAGAGTTGGTCTTCTAGTCCAATCCCCTGTTCAAGCAGGAAACCTATACCATTTTAGACAATCTTTCTTTTGTCTGAAATGGTAACTTTCTCATGCCACTGCATTTTGCACCAGCTGAAGCTTTTGAGTATTCTTCAAGGACAGCATCATGTACACCATATTAAAGTAGTTCATTTGGGAGGTGAGCAGAACCTCACAGTCCCAGAACATGTACACAACACAAAATTGTGCAAAGGCCCTCCTAGCCTGCATTACTCCTCGAGCAAAAGTCATGAAAACAGAAGGAACTTCAGATACCAGATCCTGAAGACCCAAAACAATTTAGTTTTTTTGTTTCCCATTCAGTCTCACAGCCGCCAGGCACCAGAGCAAGACATCAACAGCACTGCTTAATTTGCCAGAGTCAGAGATGAATAATCATCTCATGGCAACAAATGATCTCACTCAGCAGTTTCCTGTAGATGTTAAAATAGCAATGGGGAGAGTTCTGAATTCTGCAATGGTCATGGGTAGGACCTTTCACTGCCAATCAATAGCAACTAATGCTGGCCCATAGGATGGAAGAGAACCAGCCCAATATTGTGTGACTCCCAATCCTTGGAGCTGATCCAGAAAGGTACTGTGATTAAAAGTATCAAAAGATGTTGAGAGGGCAAGAAGAGCCAGGAAGGATGCACTACCTCCATCTGCTCCCATCAGAGATCATCCAAAAGCACAATCAATGCCATTTCTGTGCCCAGAAACATGTCCAGGCCTGGATCCTGACTGAACCTGCTGTGTGACCACTTTCACCATGAGCTTCCCTTAAACAGGGAGGTCTGATCTTGGTTGGAGGTTGTCCTGTATAATGTGATCCAGTGATGGCTTTTTTAAGGAAAGGGCAAATCAACACCTTAAAAAGTGAAGAAAAAGAAAAACCTTGTCTCAAGGATAAATTTATTCCAGCTAAAACTCATTCACTTATCACTCATCCCATCCCCTCCAGCAACCTTAGCTAATTATGGGGGTGCATGAGTCTCATAAGAAAGTGGTTAAGCTCACAGTCATAAGGATCCTTCCTACTTCGTCAGGCCCAACAGGTTTGAACTGTTTCATATTGGGTTATCACTGATACTTTTAGGGGGAATCCAATGGAATGCAATATAATCATAAACTGGATTATTGTATTATTATTATTACATTCAGAAAATTGTACTGTGTAAATTATACTTACATTGTGTAAGCCACCTCGAGTCGCCATGGGCGAATAGGCGGCAATATTAAATAAATAAACAAACAAACAAACAAACAAACAAATAATACTTGTTCAAGAGGTGGATCAGAAAGAACATGCAATGTGTACTCTCAAATTGCTCCTAGAATTGACAGCTGTAAAAAAACCAACAACTTTGCACTCCAGCGACCAGTTCAACTCTCCAATAGCTTCTAGTGACATATTCAAATCATCAATATACATAAAAATAACACTGCCCAAACTGGCAACAGTTTTGAGCCAGATAGAACAACCTTGCCCTTGGATGAAGGTAGAAAATAAACATTAATTCAAAAAAGCTTAAATGATTCAGCACAGGTATATTAGGAAGAAAATGTGATTGAAGTTGGCACTACTGCATTACCGCATGTAATTTTATATCAAATCTTTGAAACAAAGGAACAATCTAAAACACTTAAGACCATAGATATTTTTCGGCATACTTTAAGTGAGCAAGCTTTGCTCAGGGTAAAAACTACATAAGGATTTTATTTTTTTACCTGTATAAGTGATTAATATAAGGAGTTACACCCAATGAATTCATCCAGTTTCTAAATGTTCTTTCTTCCTTACTTTCACCTACAGTAGAAAGATAATAATTTAATTATACTTTGATTTTTGGTCTGTTTTTTTTTAAAAAACTATTGAATCGCAAATAGAAGGAATGGTATCACAAAGCAGGAGAGGAAGAATGCTATCATAAAATGGAAAGATATATAAATGGGCGAAGAATAAACAAATCTAAATTAAATCAAAACTATAAAAAGGATACTTACTGAGCATAGCAATAGCAAAAACAGTATTTGTGTCCACAACAGTTAGTTCAGTTTCATGGTTATGTACAAGACCATCCATCAAATTATATGTTTGGGTTAATGATTAAGATTTGTTTCAAAAGGTATTTCAATCTCTAATTGAAATATATTTTGAGTACTTCAGAGTGAATTAACATGCTTCCAAGATAATTATAGAAAGAAGGGATGCTAAAGGGTATATTTGGCAAGCTCACAATAAAAATTAAAACTTCATGCTAAATAATGCAGAAAATAACATGCATGCTGAAAAAATCAATTCTGACTGAAAGAACTGTGAAAGTAAAAAAAAATAAAGGTTATATTTAATATGCCACTCTAAAATCAAATTCTTAAACTTCTTTTTAACCACCTACCATCACTATAACTCCTTTCATTCTTGTTCAGTGTTTAATAGGTACCTTCTTGAGAATATACATGTTTGCTTTCCTTGGAATAGGTATAAATAATAGATAACCAACACAAACTGGAACATGGTAATAACATGCCTTGTGACACTTTTCTTCTGTAATCATAATGTTGTGCAGCAATACGTAGAGATCAGAAACGGATATGATCAATTATGCTGATTATTTTTCACTTTCTCAAAATAGAAAAATGCTGAATGTTTAATTTCAGTTATAAAAATAGGAGTAACTTCAACATTCATTTTGCAAGGAAAATAAACCAAGCCATCCTTAAGCATGGCTGCTATGCATGATAAGATATATTTCTCCATTAGGTTTTATAGTCATGCAGCTCTCAGTATTGCTGATCAAAACACAATTAATTTTGTCTATCTTTTACTCTTACTGTATAATTTCTAATATGATTTGAATATTTTCATAATAAAACTAAAATGGGTTTACAGGTAGTCCTCAAATTATAACTGTATGGCCAGTCATGTTTCCAAGTTTCCATGTTTCCAAGCACTGAACCAATGATAGTTACAACCAGTCCTTGGAGTTCCAGCCATTCCACCAACCCCATTGTCACATGATGTCAACCTGGGTAATTGGCAACCAGTTCACATTTACAACTGCTTGCCAAGTGTCTTGCAATCATGTCATCATCATTTGCAATCTTTCCTGCTGGCTTCCCCAGAAAGTCAAGTCAATGGGTTATGTCACCAACCCACACATCCTCCCCCAGCCCAACTCTGTTTGTACTGGGCTGGCACCCTTCCAACCTGTTTGACACCTCTTGGGCACCCTTGCAGACCTGAACAGCACCTCTCATGCACTCCCCTCCCAGACCCATGCCAGGCTTCTTGCACATGGTGCCTCCCATGTATCTCTGCACAACCTTGCTCTATCAGTCCTGACAACCTGTGCTCTGCTGGCCCTGCCACTCCCAGTTCATCATCCAGCCTGGTCATTCTTCTCAGCAGCAGCAGGAAGAAAATGGTGAAGATCAGCTCAGGATGAGAAGGCCAGTAGATGAAGGGCAGCAGAGTTAGCAGAGTGCTGATGGCCAAAAAGTATAGAGATGGAGGGAGATAGGGAGCTGGGGGGAGTTCAAGAGGAGGCAGTCTTACCCTGAGGCTCAGGGCTGAGAGGTACCAACTTAGCAATATTTTGGATTGGGATGGGTCCTTATTTAAGGACTGGGTAGGATTTGTTTAATGATGGCAATGGGTACTAAGAGGATCACTGTGGCTAAGCAATACAGTCACATGATATCACACTTTATGATTAAATTGCTTAGCGATGGAAATTCTAATCCAAATTCTGGTTGTTAACTGAGAACTACCTGTAAAAATATAAGAACAGCATGTAATCTCCAGTCTTATCACACAAAATAGGGTTTATCTAATGGAATGGCACAAATTATATCGCTTAAATTTCTGCCAAGATACAGTAAGGGCTGTAGATATATATATCAGCATACTATGAGGGAAAGTCCTTGTGTTCTTCAAGAATTATCCAGCAATTGTTTCAATAGGCTGTCCTAAGAGGAATATAGGATGACATATTTTTCTGTCCTATCTTTGAAATGTTTGCATTCCAGTTCATAGTGATAACACTACTAGCAACTTCTAACTTTATTATAACAGTTTGTGATAATTACTATATATCTTAAGGACTATGTTTAATTTTTTATGTTTGCCTGGCTTTTTCTCCATAATTTTCTTTTATAAGCCTGAGGCAGGAAACTTTCTTGTTTTTATTCTACTGGAAGCTCTTGGAAAGCTTCTAGCTGATACATGCCTTGAACAAATAGTTGAATTTTGGGAAGAGAATTTTCACTTTTGACAACTTTATCTTTTCATTCACATGTGTGAGGTTTCATATCATGACTCCCAAGAACTCAATTATGAATTCAAGTAAAGTTAATCTGGCATTTTATATGACTAAAATCAATGTCTATTACTAATATTTTTCCACAGCTGTAATGGCATATTAAAAGAAAAACACTAATATGTCACAAAAGCAGGACAGTTACAAAGGTGGCAGTCATAACAATAATAGAATGAAAGGGAAAACAGATTTCAAAATATAATTTTACAAGCCAAAAGCCCCCAACTAAATACAGTACCTACAGTAGGAGGAGTCAAATCTGCATTTTATGAGGAAAGATTGGAAAGTTATTAAATGTAATATTATGAGCACTATCCTAATTTCACTATTTGGGTGGGCTTAACTCCTAAAAAAACAATTTAAGATCCAAGATCTAGATATGATTTGAACTCCTTCCCATCCACAAATCCTATCTCCAGAAACGTGTTTCTTATTCAAAAAAGCAGAGGAACTTCAATTATACAGGTAGTCCTTTCCTTATAACCATGATTGAGACCAAAATTTCCATTGCAAAGCAAGAGAATTATTAAGTGAGCTTTAGCCCATTTTACTACCTTTTAGCCATAGTTGTTAAGTGAATCACTGCAGTTAACTTAAAAATGATTGTTAAGTGAATCTCACCTCCCCATTTACTTTGCTTGTCAGTAGGTCACATGAGCCCCAAATACTGCAACTATCATAAATACATCTCAGTTGCCAAGCGTTCACATTTTTATTACATGATCATGGGCATGCTACTGTTGAGGTAATTCCCCGTTAGGAGAAAGAGTGCATACAGGGAGATGTATAGAGAGAAGTGTTTGAATAATATACACACACAGCACACAGATACACTGTACAGTCGGTGTAGGTTTTTACTTCCAGAAACTTTTAAGTAAAGTTCAAAACAAGCAGTCCAAAGTCATTCACAGGTAAATCAGTCAGTCCAGGGATAATCCAATAACAAAGTCCAGTGTCATAAACAGTTCAGTATCAGACTTACATCAAATCCAAATATAGCAGTCAATTAGGAAGAATGGCAAAACTCTCCAACAGAAGGAAAAAGAGACTCACTGAAACACACTCTCTTCTGAGACTAAGACTAAACAACCCAGGTTTCTCGCTCTATCTTATGGCCGTTTGAGAAACCACATCCAATTACACTTTTAGGATTCTCTTAAAGAGACAGTATTAAAATGTCTATCCTGGTTTATATATTTCCAACCCAAATACCTGTTAGGTGACTTATATTCCTAACAGCTACAATTGTCAAAAGTGTAAAAAACAGTCATGCCACTTTTTTAGTGCCATTGTAACTTCAAATGGTCACTAAAAATGGTTGTAAGTTGAGGACTACTTGTATTGGGGAAATCTTTTCCATTCTTAACTGCCTTGTGCAATTAGATTTATAGGTATCTGTGTTCCAATTTTACCCCATAGTTCTGAATTGAAACTAGCATATCTCCCCTTCCCCCCACCCCCCAAATCATGTAAAATTATGTGGCTTGAGCATGGTTGGAGAAAACACTATGAACTAAACTTTCAATGAAATAATAGAATTATTTATGTTAGAGAACAACAAGGGACTTGATGTTAAAGAAACTTCCCATAGACAAGATGGAGTTGGTAGTGATTTAGGTGAATTCCAGCATTTGGGAAAAATGCCTGCTCTGAAAAGTGTACATTTTCCATTAAGGATCAGATTTACATTCAGGGAATCCCTTTTAAATCCAGGACCATTAATAAAATCAAGAGATGATTTATCAACTTTGGTTGATAAATCACGTCCATAAGTGAAGAAGAAAATCTTTATGGGATGTTTTTGAAGACAGTCTAGAAACTCAGCTGGCTAGAATTTGGCAGCACTTCACTCTACGATTTAAAAAGGAGCTCAAATCATAGTCAAATCTTTTAATCTGGTTTAGCATTTGTTTTAACTAAACTGTTGCTGTTATAATTGTATTGCTCTAAGATGTCCTAAGCCATTAAAGGAGAGGCAACATGCAAGTACACTATTAAATAAACAAGCAAACAATACCCCCATTAGATTATTTAAATTAAGAAATAATAAACAACCAAATACAAATAGGTCTTTCTCTAATATCTCAATTAGTATATATTGAAGTTACTTACCTTCTAATAAACTGAAATCATAAGAATTGTTTTTAGGCTTCTCCAGGGCAGGGTATGTATTAAAGAGGTTTGCAACAAAGGCTAAATTAAGTTTAGGGTTGCCTGTAACCACATCTGTAGGTGTCACAAACTGTTTGCAACCCAATTTATCTGCTTGTTGAAGCATATATTCAGCCCTCCTCAAATCATTTGGTTCCTGGGGAAAATGAATTGCAAATTTAAAATAAAATATATGCATCCATTTTTGCATTAGACATAAAATTCTAGATACAGAAGCAAACCAGAAATTGTTTGGAAAGAAAATCCTGTTTTTGCATGATTCCTGATTGCATTTAAATGCATTTAGAATCTGTGCTTTGGACCAGTTATAGCAATCTATCATACTTTTCTCTCAGAAGATCTAAAGCAGTGGTCCCCAACCTTTTTTGTACCAGGGACCAGTTTCACGCAGAAACACTTTTTCAAGGACC